ACCATGACATCTGAGGGTCAGCCAAAGGAAACAGGGCTGGATCCTGCAGACACGAAGGGAAAGGCCAGAACAAGGCAAGTCTAGCCTGGCCTTGCTTGGCCCCTGGGGCAGGCCTGGGAAAGAGTCTGCAGGAGAAGAGTCTTGGGCTGTGTGGGCTCCCTGGGCCCTCCCTGGAGGAGGCGGAGGGGACTCCAGGGCAGGCATCAGCTAAGGAAGAGAAGGGCCTGGATCTGAAATCACGCGCGGGACATTTCTGTAAAGGATGAAGCAGGCCGGGGTTACCGCCCAAGGTCCAGTCTATCACCCCGAAGATTCTCTGCGGTGGATGGCCCTTCATAAATGCCGCAGTGCCCCCAGCAGAAGCCAGGCTTTCCACCATCTGGAATGGAGATGTGGGGGGGTGTCAATGGCACTAATGGTCCGACTGTAGCCACAAGTGCTGCCCTCTTGTGGCTGTTTGTATCCTCCGTAAAAAAGCCAGAAGCTGCTCTCCAGCCCGTACAATCCCTTCCTTCAGGAGGCCAAGACACAGACAACACCAGGGAAGTGCTCCCTAAACCAGCGCCGAGCCCGGCTGGAAAGCACCCGGCTCTCTTTCCCCGTGGTTCCCATGGTGGGGATTCTGAGCAGTAAAGGCCTTTCCCCACAGAGTCAATCCCCTGCCAGCTCCCGTCATTTTTACCAGCATGTCTTTTAGCCCTCTCCTTTCTCTCCACCATCCCCCGGTCTCCTAGCCAGTGCCCCCCCCCCGATGACCTCCAGGCTCTCCACACACAGTCTCCCAAGGGACATTCCTCAAATGCCCATCTGGCCAGGTCACTCCTTACTTAATAAACTCCCAATTACCTCCAGCACTGGAGAGCCAGAGCTGGACGGGACAAACTCTTCTGCTTGGCATTTCAAACCCTGTACAATCTGGCACCATCCTCCATTTCCAGCTTTCTTACACACTACTGCCCTTCCCAAACTCCATGACCCAGTCATGCTGGCCTTACATGCACCCACCCTACATGCTAGAAACGCTCGTTTCTCCTCTTTTCATCTTCTGGGGCTCATGGAAACCTGGCACGCTGCAGAAGATACTCTTGGCATCCTTTCCTCTGTGGCCCGCTCCCTCAATACCCAGGGTGCCCGGAAGACGGTATCAACTGTTCTTTTCAATATGTCCCAGGCATTTTAGGCTTAGCACAACATTTATGAAACTTCTCAGGGCAGATTCCACGGTCATCGGGGAAGGGCTTCTAAGACTGTAAAAGAGGAGGCTGCCAAGAGATTACTTTGAAAGAAAGACTGCTGTTAGCTGCAGTTAGAGAAACACTGACTGTAAGCTGAATGAAAGACCAGACAGAAGTACCAGCAGGCAGCCCCTTCATAGCTCAAGGAAAGGTGTTTTGACACCCCTCCCTCCTGTTCTATCTAGGGCTAAGTCCGACAACAGGATTCCAGTGTTTACAGGAGACCCAACATGATGAATGAGCCAAGCAAAGCGTCTTAGAAGAGGAGATGAGATGGAGGTTAATGATGCCAACAGGCACCAAACCGGGCCTTTGAGGTTAAAAAGGGGTCATTAGTTAGCAGAGGTGATGCCTCGAGAATGACGGTCTCTGGCCCAAACCCAGACCTGAATTCTCCCCAGAATTATGCAAACCTTGTAAAACTGTAAGTGGGACTTGAAGTACCAAGCCTGGCCAGAATGCAAAACAGAAGGGGAATTGGCCGTTTATTTTCTCAGCAGAGGCCAAGGAATGTGAGGCCATTTCCTCTCGGCCCCACCCCACATACCACACAGGCTCCCAAGCCCCAAAGCGTCTGTCACAGGCCACCTCAGAACAGGGCAAGGCGAGAGATGTGGCTGATCTGGGGAGGCCTCTTCACTTCCAAAGTGCCAGCTCCCCACCCCCACCCCGCCCCTACTTCTAATCCAAGCGTCTGTAACTCTGAAGCAGCATATCGGGCCTAGGGAGGACAGCTGATGAGGGGCCTGATAGCACAGGCCTTGGAACCAAGGTGATGATGCTGTTACTGCCAGGATGCTAGAGCCCTAGCTACGGGAGACACTGTTACTGCCAGGATGCTAGAGCCCTAGCTACGGGAGACACTGTTACTGCCAATCTAAAACTAATCAATACAGAGTCCCGTACAAAGAAGCTGCAGCAGCCCTGGTGATGAGCAGGCTCCTCCAGGAGAAGCCAGGTGCCCAAGCCTACAGCACAGGGCTGCGCATCCACCTCCTTGCTGTCCACATTCAGAAAAGGGAAGTGACAAGTAATCTCTCCTTTACGTAGCTGCTTTGCCAAAGCTGTTCAACTCCCTTTAGCTCCAAGCTGAGGCCCTAACAGACATCCCCACAGCTGTCCCATACAGGACAGATGCTCCTTATTCAAAATCACGGACTTTCAAATACAAGGACCTGACTCTACGATACAGGTCCTGAAATCTCCCGAAAGGTGGTGGCAGAGAACACACATCAAGCTGGCTCTGCCACGGCAAGCTGGGCCGGCTCCCATCTTTCAAGGCAGCCTGGGCCGGGGTAGCAATCAGCAGATTACACAGGGCTGCATCAGCACAAGCGGGGTGTTAGCAGGTAAAGACGACTCCAGAGGTACCACGCACAGCATTAGCTCAGTACATCAGACTCCATCTTGTGCTGAAGGGGACAGAGACAGTCAGGGCTGTGGGAAGTGGCTAGGGATAGTGGGATCATGCTCCAGACTTCTCACGATGGTGACAGCCGCAGGAAAAGCGGCCAGAGGGCCATGAGGAGCTACAGACCTCTTGGGGTGTCCCGAGGGAAGCCTGGCCTGCCTGCTCTAGTACCCTCTCTTAAAGAGACCACCCACCAGCAAAGGACATAAGGGGACAGACAGACAACCCACAGGAGCCCATGTCCCTCTCCTATGGCCCCTCAACAAAGAACACAACATGTTCAGGAACCAGCAAAGAATGAAAAGGCCTGCTGTATGCCAAGCAGGAATTTTATTCCATTTTGGAGCCAATCTGAAAATAATTTATTCTCATTTAGAATCCTCATAGGGACACAGCTGCAGAGGGACAATGGACAGGGCCCAGAACTGAAGGGAAGGGAAGGGGCTGGGTCGTATGTGGAAAACCAGGCAGGAATTCCAAGGACCCTAAGCTGCCCCTGGCCACAAAAGCCCATGTAATGATTACTGACATGGTCGCTATGAGGCTCCATGGCTACAAATCATGGAATACTGTGACCTCAAAAGAATCAGAATCAAAATGGTGCCTTGGGCCAGGCGGAGCTGCACACAGCCAGTAACCAGCCATGACCTATGTGTGAGCAATGGTGCATAAGAGCGGAAGACGCAGGCCGGCCACACAGCAACAGCGAGGGACACCAGAAGCAGGGCCCCAGGGCTACCTGGTAACCTACCAAAAACTAGGGGACCAGAAGCAAGCCTCCAGCATGCTGAAGAGGGGAGAGGAAGGGAGCACATAATGTCTACTGCGTGCCAGGCACTGGGCTGAGTGCTTTACAAATATGGTCTCATCTGATCCTCACAGCCCCCTTGGGAGGGAGGTGTTGTCATTATCCCCATTGTACAGAGGAGGAAACTGAGGCAGACGGTAGTGCAGTGACTTACCCAGGGTCACACAGCTGGGTAGTGTCCGAAGACACATTTGAGCTCAGGTCTTTCCGACTGCAGGCCAGTGCTCACCTGGGCAGATATTTCTCATAAAAATCACTGAAGGGCAAGAACGGGAGGCAATGTGGGGTAGTGAGAACAAGCCAAGGTTTGGAGTCTTGGGAGCTGGGTGGGAATCCCAGCCCTGCCCTTTATTCCTGTGGGACCAAAGGCCAGTCACTTCATTTCTTTGGGTCTCGGTTTCCCTCTCTATCAAGTCAGGGTGGGATAGATTATCTCTGAGGCCCCCCTAGCACAGAGAGCACACTGAGAGCTGAGGAGGTCAGGGGTCCACACACTGAGAGCCACGTGGAAGACAGATTCGGTTCAGAGGCGGCAATGGAGTGCAGGGAGGGACGGCTGTCTATCATCACCGCACCAAGGGCAAGTGTCAGCTCAACGCGCACTCATTAAGCTCCTACTGTGGGCAAGGCACTGGGCTGGGCCAAGGACACAAGGACACAAGCAGCTGCTACCCTCCAAGAGCTGACATTCTGAGGAGAAAAAAGCCATCCGCAGAGAAGCAAACCAGGACAGGGTGACTTGGGGACATGGGCAGAGCCCTCAAGGAGTCCAGGATTGTACAAGGAAGGAGGGAGGTGGGAATTCTAGGCCAGGAGGATAGACAGTGTGGGCCCAGGCTTCACCGCCTGCCCAGGAAGGGTTTATACCAAGAGGATTTTAAGAGACGTCACTGAAGAGGGAGGGAGTGAGCTTGTGCGTGCGTGTGTGCGTGTGTGTGTGTGCATGTGCACGTGCACGTGTGTGCATCTGAGCGAGGTGAGCAGGACGAGTCAGACCACTGCTCCTGCCACAGTAATACATCGTGGAGTTGAACAAACGCTGTCACCCGTGCTGGGGAGGTAACACGGCGGGGGAGGAAAAGGGGGCCATTTCTGGAGAAAAAAGTCAGCGCATCCAAAAGCACTTAAGTTACCCCTCCTGAGGAGCACCCTCCTGGGCCACGGGGCAGCACCTCGGGGCCTCCCGAGAGCAAATAGCCCCTGGCCCCCCGCCTGTGGAGAGCAACCCCCGCTGCTTGGGAGCCCTGGGCAAGGGGCTGCCAGGGAACGAGGGAAGAGTGTCCTGGGAGGGGAATCTGTCTGCTGGCAGACTGTGCGGCTATTTAAAGACATCCCAACACACAGCCCAGATATACAATATCTTCTCTGTTGTGATTATAAAAATTCCGATCACACGGGCAGGACTGTCCACAAACTGCCTCGAGAGCACGTCCCTTTCAGCAGATACTGTGTATTGACCTCTTTTCAAGGCACAAACAAAGCCAAAGCAGGGGAGGGTCTGTTCTGATCTAGAGAAGCCCCAAACAAGCTGTCTGGGCATCCTTACCTCGGCCTCCTTCTGCTGAAGGATCTGGTCCTTGTCTACCACCTCCTCCCCCTCCGGCCTGAAAGACACAAACACATGGCACGGCCTGGGTCAGATGCAGCCAGAAGGCTCTCAAGGAAGCTGGCCCCCGTTGGGCAGCACCCCCCAGTTCATCCTGTGGCCCAGGAAGCCAACAAAACCACCCTCTGGTGCTCCTGGGACCAACTCTTTTCTTTCTTCCTCCAGTGTCTTTTAAATCACAGACTCCTTTGTTGGGGGGGAAGGGGGAAGAAAATGGGGGTCAGGGCAGTGGCATTGCCAAGAAGTTCACTGACCTGGACATTCCTTGTCAGGAGTAAGCAGTGGGCACTGGGCTGCTCCTTGGAGTCAGTGGCCCTGGGCTCAAATCCCTCTTCTAACACTAAGTGACTTGGACTATGTCATTATCCTCTTGGGACCTCAGTTTCCCCATGTGTAAACAGGAAAATAATTCCTGCCCTATCCAACTCTTGGGACTGCTGAGAGGAAAGGACTTTGCAAACCTTAAAGCTTTATATAAATGTGAATTTCATTCACCTTGGTTTGTTTTTTAAGTGTGTATCTGCTGATAATCAAATTGAACTTTCTAAATAGCACCAAAATTTCAATTTTAACAACCCGAGACAGAAATAAGTCCCCAGTAACACAGAAGAGAACTTCCCAAGCTCCAGGTCCTTGGGGGGAAGTTATTCGAGGCCAGAACAGAGCAGAAGGGAACCAGAAGAACTCAGGGTCAGAGATGAGAGACCTTGGCCAAGGGCCAAACCCAAGTGTGCAGAAAATAGAGGAATGCAGCCCTGCAGAGGCCAAAGGAATAGAGGAGAGCAGCCCCCTCAGGCCCTGGGCTCTGCACCACACTCCCCCAGCCCCACTCCAACCCTGCACCGTCCTGCTGCGCCATCCTGGCAGCCAGGACCAAGGGACCAGACGACACTCACCGGCCGCTACGTTTCAGCCTCTCCGAGCGGAAGTTCTCATAATGCAAATCCTGGGTCACTTCTTGTAGGTCCTGCATATGTGTCCTAAAAAGAGTCCATGGCACATGCTAGGTTAGTGCACTTTTCCTTCTTTTAAGTCAATACTGATTCATCACTGTTTCTTCTCCAGAAGCTCTCTGTCCTTATGAGTCCTTCCCACAGGCTAACTGGACCCCATCACCACAAGCAAAAATACCAACTCAAGTACCACACCACACCTATCAGACTGGCCAACATGACAAAACGGAAAGTGATAAATGCTGGGGAAGGTGTGGGAAAATTGGAGCACTAATGCATTGTTCGTGGAGTTGTGAACCAACCATTTTGGACAGCAATTTGGAACTATGCCCAAAGGGCTTACAAAACTGTGCAATAGCACTTCTAGGGCTGTATCCCAAAGAGATCAAACAAATGGGAAAAGGACCCACACGTACAGAAATATTTACAGCAGCTCTGTCTGTGGTGGCAAAGAATTGGAAATTGAGAGGATGCCCATCCACTGGGGAATGGCTGAGCAAGTTGTGATATGTGAATGGAATGGAATACTATTGTGCTATAAGAAATGATGGACAGGCTGACTTCAGAAAAAGCTGGAAAGACTCGTATGGTCTGATGCTTAGTGAAGTGAGCAGAACTAAGAGAACGCTGCACAAAGTAACAGCCACATTGTGTGATAAATGACCTTGATGGACTCAGCCCTTCTCAGCAATGCAAGGATCTAAGACATCTCCAAAGGTCTCATGATGGAAAATGCTATCCACATCCAGAGAAAGAACTATGGAGTCCAACTGTAGATGGAACATACTATTTTCACTTTTTTTGTTGTTTTTTCTTTCTCACGGTTTTTCCCTTTTGCTCTGATTCTTCTTTTACAACATGAATAATGTGGAAATATCTTTACTATGATTGTACATGTATAGCCTATATCAAATTGCATGCCACCTTGGAAGGGGATGGGGAGGAGAAGGGGAGAAAAATTTAGAACTCAAAATCTAATAAAAGTGAATGCTAAAAACTAAAAATAAATTAACTAATTGAAAAAATACCCATTCAAGCTTTGTCATTGACCACTGATTAACTAGCTGGTATCTGGAATGGATTTCCTGCTTTGGACTTCTTCTAATGAAATTACCTATCTCCCCAAATCCTCTTCAAATTCAGCAAACGTGATAACTTCCAACTATTCAGACCTAGGGCCAGGGACACTGCTTGGCACACAGGAGGAGTTTAATAAATGCTCGATTGGCCAGAAAGTCTTAACTCTCTATCTTTGCAACAGTTCGGTTTTTCTCAAGGTGGGGAAGAGAGGGAAAAAATTCAGACCTGAAAGTGAAATGGGATTTAAAAAAAAAAAAACAAAACCCTAATGTCAAGTGAGAGACCTCTGGCTACAGAGCCACTCCCAGTGTGCCCAGGGCTTTACACGCAGCTCCTCATCCCAGCCTCTCGATAGGGCTGTGAAGTAGGGGCTACAGAGATCACTACGCCTAATTTACAGATGAGGAAACTGAGTTTCAGAGATGGGGCGTGTGACCAGTGAGTGAGATGTGAAATGGGAATCTAAGTTTCTCCTCCAATTATCACCCTCAAGAAACAAAAAACCACACACCTATTTAATTGATGACATTTATCTTTACATCAGAGTAATTTCATCAACTCGCCTCACCCCAAACTAAACTCTCTGTGACAAAGACAGGCAATTAAGCAAAAACAAACAATACTGTGACCATCTCTGTAAACATGGTCACTACTGCCTCCACCTCCCTGCCCCAAGGGAGGAGGGATGCTTCATCACCTTTTCTCCAGGGCCCTCACTGGTTTTTACATTATTATGAGGACAGAGTGGAGATAGTGCTGGGCCTGGAGTCAGGAAGAGCTGAGTTCAAATCCGGACTCGGATACTTCTTGGCTGCGTGACCCTAGGCCAGTCACTGCACCACATCTGCCCCAGTTTCCTCATCTGTAAAACGGAACTCATAACAGCACGTTTCCCCCAGGGCTGTCGTCAAGACCACATGAGGTAATATTTGTAGAGCGCACTGCAATCCTTCGCGCATCAAGTCAGTGCTGGCTGCTGCTACGTTACTAGCTGTTTCTTGTCACTGGTCTTCCATCAATATTGCTTTATAGGCCACTGCGCAGTCAGCGTCTCTTGGTTCTACCGATCTCACCCTACCTCCGTTCACATAAATCTTCCCACGTTTCTCTGAATTCCTCACACTTATCATTCTTTATTGCACACTAATGTCCCACAATTTGTCAGACGTCTTCCATGGGGGGGAGGGGGGCAGCCATTTGTTAAGCACCTACTGTGTGCCAGGCACTGCTGTGCTAAGAGCTTCACAATTATCATCTCATTTGATCCTCCAACAACCCAGTGAAAAAGGCATTATTGTTTCCATTTTACAGCTGAGGAAATTTCTGAGCTAAGGGCCATACAGCTAGGGCGAGTCTCAGGCTGGATTTGAACTCAAGTCCTCCCGACTCCAAGACCAGCTCTCTGTGCCCTCTGGCACCACCTAGTGGCATCCTGAGCCACATAACATCAACATAAAGAGCGTTCCCTGCTATGGAAGTTTTCGGATATAACGGACCTTTGTTTCTGCTTTTTGATCTCCTTGGGGTACAGGTCTAATAACAGCATCACTGAGTCACAGTTCTTGGACAGTACGGCAGCTTTTCCTGCATAATTCTGAAATGACATTCAGAATGCCTGGACCACTTCACAGTTCCACCAACAATGCATCAGTGTACCTGTGTTCACACATCTTCTCCAACACTGACTGTTTATCTTTTCCCACTCTTGCCAATTTACATAAAGTGAAACAAAATTCTGTAGACCTTCACTTGACTATTTCCTACTACTAGTGAGGTGGAACGTTTTTTCATGTAGTCATTTCACAGCATTTTTTTAAAGGCAATTGGGGTTAAATGACTTGCCCAGGGTCACACAGCTAGTAAGTATCAAGTGTCTGATCTGAGGCCAGATTTGAACTCAGGTCCTCCTGACTCCAAGGCTGGTGCTCTATCCACTGCACCACCTAGCTCACTGTAGTCATTTAAAAGAAAAAACAAAACACTATTTTGATCACTTGTGGGGAAGTGGTTCTTAGCCTTCTATGTTTGTGCAAATTCCCTATATATTTTATTTTTTAAAAAATTTATACATTAATGTTTAGGGTTGGACTACAGACTTAGTTATGAAAAAAAAAAAAGAAAAACATCACAAGAAGAGGAAAATAGTCTATGACAGAGTCCTGTACAGAAGAGGGAAGAGAGAGGAGACAGGTCACGAGGAGGGCAGAAAATACACACACACACACACACACACACACACACACAATGAAGGGAAGGGAGGCTGGGCAGCCAGGGTCAGGGCCCTTGGCTAGGCATTGGCTTCGTGGAGGTCTCCGGCAGGCCCTTTTTAAAGGCTGCAGGGTTTGTCCAGAGCTCAGCAGTGTATCTGCCCAATGGGCTGTCATCGCTGCCTTCTCCCAGCAAGCTCTGCATGTAGTAGGACGGTCCTGACTTCATACTGGGTGACCACTTGTCCAAAGATACTGCCCTGGGCGTCCATGCTGGGATGGAAGCATTCTATGGGGCAGGCGCTGGAGAACTCTGGGAAGAGCTTGAGTCTTGGATCTTCACGTGCTGTCCCAGTTGTGCCATGGATGGTCCCGACCCATCTGAATGGATTGTCTGACCATGGGAAGGCAGAGACTCCTTCACCTCCAGACATCCTTGGAGTCAGCAGTTCCTGTCATAACCTCTCGCCCAGGGACCCACGGGCCGTCCTAGCCACGGCCCCTCATGGGATGTGGCAGCAGCAACACTGGCAGTGTCCAGGTCGCAGTGCTGGGAGGCCACAGGGGACAGGAGGCAGAGGAAGAGAAATACCCAGGCAGCAAACGTGGGGGTCCTCCCCTGCATACTTTAAACGCCTGTGACCTCGATGCAATGACTTTTCCCACTCTACATTTTCTCTTCAGGCTTATTCCAGCTCCCTTCCCATGGCCCCACGTGGCTTCACTCTTGCGTCCCGGGGAGTGCTGTCCCCTTCTAGGCTTCCCCTGTACAAAGGGGTCTGGCCCTGACCCTGCCTTTGGAGATGGCGTCAAGGCTTATGGCACATTCTTCCAAATGAAGAGCTTCACAGAATAAATGCCATGCCAGCCCTGCCAGAGGGCTCTCCTGCTCGCACCGCCCAGGCCTCTGCGGCCTGCTGCCCTCCCCCTCCAGTGGTCTCCTCTGCACACAGCAGAGGGCTGTGAAGCACCTTCCCTTAAGCTGGACTGGCTAAGGCTGCCTCTGCTCCATCCCCCAAGCTGTGATGGGAGGGCTCCTCAGGGTCCTTCCGAGACCCCCCCAACAAAGTCTGCACATTAGAATTTGTACAAGTTACCCGCATGCCCATCCTATCCCTCACACTACATTCCCAGCTTTTTGAGAGAACTCTCAAAGGCAGCTCCGCCTAGTGGAAAGAGTGCCGTACTCACCAGCATTCATTTCACACCCATGAACCCTCAGTGTCCCCCAAGACTCTGCCCAGGACCCTTTCTCTTCTCCCTCTGTCCTATCTCACTCAGTGACCTCATCAGCTCCTTGCCCTCAACCACCTTCTCTGTGCAAATGATTCCAGCCTCAGTCTCCCACGGGAGCTGCAGTCCTGAGGACTAACCCACAGACATTTATGTGAGCCTCCTATGTGCCAAGCACTGGGGATATAGCTAATAAAAGAAAGGCAGTTCCTGCTGTCCATAAAGGAGGCGTTGGGAGGAGTCTGGCGCTCTCCAGTCAGCGGGGAGCCAATCAAGGCTGGCATGAACAGCAGGGGGCAAGATCAGAAGCGATGACTCTATCCTAGGAGCTGAAACCAGGCAGGGCAGCAGGGGCCAAGTGGGGTGAGGATCCCAAGCTGGGTGCCCCAGGGACCGCAGGTGGTATGCCCCTAGTTATGTCAGTCCCAAACCCCAATTAAAATATAGTTGGGAAATGTTTAAAAATAAATAACGAGAATCGCTGCTTTGCTAAGTGTACATGTGGCTTGCAGGGATCCATTTCTACTCGAGACTGATGCCCCGCCCCAGACCATCTCCTTGTCTTTCCCCAAAAGCCTCTTCCCAGCTTTCCTGTGGCTGTGGAGGGCACTGCCATTTTCTGTTACTCCGGCCTGGAAGCTCAGGGTCAACCCCATTCCTTACTCAGTCACCCCACGTGTTACTCTGCTGCCCCATCTTACCCCACCTCTCCTCCCCGCACCTCTGCTCACACAGCCATCATCCCAGTGTGGGCCTTCACCACATCTCACTCTGCCTACAGCAAGGCTCCTGCTTGGTGTCCTTCCCGCTCTGGTCCAGGGTGATTTTCCTCAAGGTGATGGGGGTGCCCACATGCTCTACAATCCAGCCACACTCAGCTCCTCATGGTTTTCCACACACCACACTCTATCTCCCAATCATGCACCTTTGCACACACCCTCACCTTCTTAAGATTCAGCTCAAATCCCACTTTCTGCAGAAGGCTTTTCCTGATCCCAGCGGGAAATACTATTCAAGAAACTCTGGAAAGAGCCATGAGGGGGAAGTCAGTGGCCCGGATGGCTTCTACCAGACCGCAGGCCTCTCAAGGACTCTTTTCTGAAACTCCCAGGCCTGGGCGTGGCTGCTGGGCTTGAAGCAGTGAATGGGATGGGATGTGGTGCTGGGCCGGGAGGGAGGGAGAAGAGGCAGGAAGCAGGTTCTGGAGCCCAGGGGTCTGAGTCGGCTCTGCTTTCCTCCATCAGGCCCTTCGTCCAGTACTGCTGGGCCAGCATCAGGGAGGCAATCACGCGGCACTCCCTACTGAGGCTGGCATTGCTACAGAGGGTACTCTCCATCAGGGTCTGAAAATGGCATCTGAAGACAACTTGGCTCCTCCACGAGCAAACAGATACTGATAGGGCCCAGCCCCTCAGCAGCCTCTCTCTCCTTCTGGGCCAGAGTCCTGCTGGTGTCGCAGCTACTCCAGGCCGCCGTCAGTTCAACATTCGACCCCTCACACACTCATCTAGCAGGCCAATGAAGGTGGTCTAAGTGTGGAAGGTGTGGGGTGTGGGGGATCTCACTAACACCAGTCAAACAACTGGGCAAAGGTGACTGGCTGCCAGACCAGTGTCTCTTGGGGTCTTCAGAAGCCCTGCTGTTGCTTCCCAAACGCAATGGTCCAGATTCTGAGCATCTCCAACAGCTTCTTCTCAGAGATTCAGAGTGCTGTTCGTCCTTTATTTTTGAAGACCAGTGACGTCACATTTGCCTCATGTGTGAATTGGATCTAAGCAAGGCAAAGCTGCAGAAGTCGTCAGCCTTACTCTCTCTTCCAGCGGCAGGACAAAAGTCAGGACGACTGGGGATGGCCCAGGATACAGCAGGTGACCTTGGCGTCTTTGATGTCTGACCAAGCTCTGAGCGCTCCGTGGCGCCTGCTTCAGCCGCTGTCATGGCATTTAGAACACTGCTCTCACCCGCCCATTCCATTAGGCAAAATCTTCACATGCTTGGAGCAGACATCCCCTTAACTCACGAAGAGGCCTGAGGCAACCTCAACCTGGTTTAGTCCGTCTGCTGAGACTTACTGGGGGGTGGCCACTGCACACGTTACAGTTTCTTGGAACCACAGGTGAGAGCTGGGCAACAGATGGACACTGAAGGTAGATGAGTAGCCCTCCTATGAGAGGTGCTGGTCCTTCCTGAACCCCCTGCACCCCATCATCTTGTGGCCAGCAGACCTGAGATCCGTTTTCTGAGTCATTAAACTAGGTATTTTTGAGGTTAACAACCTTGCTAAGACCTTAAAGACATGGTTTTGGGTGGAGCAAGGTGACTCCCCTTTGGAGCACACACAACATCTCCGGTAACCACCAAACACCCCTCTCCCCGGGTCCTCTAGGACAAAGTGTCTCCCTTGAGAAGATGTCACTCTAGCCTCTCGCGTGAGTGCTGGATCCAAAGTTACATCACCTTACCGCTGGAAGCAACCTTAAGGGCCACTGCACTCAACTTGTACTTCCACCAAAATCGCCTCTAACACAGCCCTCGCTGGGTCATCCATGCTCTGCCTGAAGCCCTGACCACTTCTCAGGGCAGCCAATTCCATGTAGAGACGGCTCTTTCTCTACAATTTCTCCCACGTTGCCACTCCTTGTTCGACCCTCTGTCACCATGCAGAATAAATCGATACAATCTCTCTTCCAAATAACAGTCCCTCAAAATTCTTTAAGACATCTCTTGTAACTCAAACACCCTTACCTCCCTCGGCGGCTCTCATATGGCGTGGTCTCAAGGTGCTGGCCCATTCTCACCATCATGCTCCCTCTGGACACCCTCCAGCTTGTCAAGGACAAGAACGGACTAGATTTCTGCTCAGAGACCTACAGCTGAAAGGGAGCTCCTAGGCTCTTGGGTCCGACCAAAATGGCTTTTAAAGTCTCCCCTAGCTCTGACGATCTAAGAAGTTCCCTAGGACATTGTTTCACATAAAATACACATGAAACAAGAAGCTAGTAGATCAGAAGCTCCCTGAGAGCAGGGAAGGCTTGTCTTCTCTTTCTCACCTCAGCAACTCGAGTAGAGCCTGGCTTGGTGTCCTCCCTCCCCAGTGGTCTCCGAGCAAAGGCTGCCAAGTGTGCAGTGGTGGGGATCCTTGGGGGGACGGGTCTGGACTAGAGAGCCCCTGGGGTCCCTCTTCTGGGGCTCCACCCTGGCTCTGCCATTTATGGGCAGATGATATGGCCACTGGCAATTACCTTCTATAAGTTTAATGGCCTCTTCTGTCGGACGAGGATAATAATTCTCAAGCTACCTGTCTCATAAGGTTTTGAGGAAAACACTTTATAAAGCTCAAAGCACTGGAGAACTGTGTTATTATTGTCACTTGTTAAGTATTTAGACAGAAATGTCTCATAAGGATTTCTAAGGAAAGTACAGATTAAGCATATACGTATGTGCTTCCAACAAATTCACACACTTATTAAGCATCTACTGAGTGTAAGACACTAGAAATGTAAACAGGTAACTAACCTTCTGAAAAATAGTACCTCCTCATATTGTCACATGAACCATGAAACATAGTGCAAGAGGCGAGAATCAGAGGACTTCAGTTTAGAAGGGACTGTGGACAGAAGCCTGTCCAGCATCCTCATTTTCAGATGGATGCACCGCCAGGATCCCATCCCCGGAGCACAGCAAGCAGAGTGCTGGGGTCAAATCTTGACTCTGGCACTTACTGGCTCCTTCACCTCTTGGTGCCTTAGTTTCCCCTTCTGTAAAGTGAGGACCTCATGGACCCTCAACCATCTTGTAAGGACAGGAAGGTGCTGTTAGTAACAGCAGCTAGCTCAGTCCTTAGGACATCACTAGAGGGCAGCAGAGGGTCACTCATGTAGTTTCCAGAAGCACCAGGGCGTGTTCCCTTCCCACCCTCTCAAGCAAAGTCAAGGACAAAATGTGGATTCCCAAGCTTTTCCACTCAGGCAGGTGGAAAGGTAGTCAGACCAAAGGAGAAAATGCCCAGAGTTAAACTTCTGAGGGGGAGGGGCACCTCCCCTTCTGCCCACGGCCTTGGTCTTCTTGGGAATCAAAGAGCATTGGCCCTGTCTGGGAACAGCACGCTGGTGCCTAATAGCTCTTTAAGTTCGGTCAAATCCATGTAGAGATAGATGGCAGATCATTTCACCGAAGCCCCTTCCTAGTCCAGAAGAGCAAACCAAGGCACCAGGAGGGGTCTGGGTCTGAGGCCTCTTCCACTAGCCACACTAGCTACATACTGGACATGCTAGACATTTATACTTAATGAAGCTGTAACACTTAACGTTTGGCCTCCTTTAGAGTTACAATAGAGTCCAAGGAGTCCATCAACATACACATTTTCTTAGCAGTCAATGCCTGGAAAGGCCTTCTACTTCTCAGGGGAGATGCCCACTGGCCTTTTCTAGAAAGTGCTCTCACAATTCCAAAGGACTCATGATGGAAAATGCTATCCACATTCAGAGAAAGAACTGATAGAGTCTGAATGCAGATCGCACACTATTTTCACTCTTTTTTGGTTTTTTCATGTTTTTTCTGTTTCTTCTTTTACAACATGACTAATGTGGAAATATGTTTTACCCGACTGCACATGTATAACCCAAATCAGATTGCTCGCCTTCTTAGGGAAGGGGGATGGGAGGGATGGAGAAAAATCTGAAACTCAAAATCTTTCAAAAAATGAATGCTGAAATTTATCCTTACATGTAATTGGAAAAAAAAATACTATTACTTGTTTTAAAAAGTGTTCTCAGAGCCACACCCTCATCTATCCCCCCCACTTATCTCCCCACCCCGTTCTCCCTCCCCAGCTCACTGTATCGCCTTCCTTCTTTAATCTCTGTCCTGGCATCTTTTCTCACTAGGAAGAACATTACCTTGACAACTACCAGTGGGGGCCCCCAACAATACCAAGTGAAATGGACCTCCTCACAGGAAACCCCAGCCCTGCTGTCCCCCCAGAATCAATGCCACCTCCTGCTTACAGCCGTTTGATTAGAACTAAGTCATTGGCCTTACTCATTTTTCCTGTAATTAAGTGACTTTTCATCTCATGCGTTTGGAAGGGGAAAATGCCCACAAAACATCACACGAGAAAAAGGAGGCCTAATGCTTCAAAGGCCACTCAGAGAAAATGTTTGTCCACCCAATTGGTCCATGAAAACTAAGCTAGGGGCAGTCTTACTTACACCAACATAGTCCGCAACTTTAGGAAATCATTGTGTTCTGGATTCTCGACCTCAACCACACCCCAAGGGTAAAGGCGGCCTCTGATCTTTTTTCCTTTGACCTCAATGAGTTGGTTAGAACCAATAACAGCAAATGGTATGCTGGCCTAAATGAAGAGAGGGAGAAAGGGAAAAAGACAAATTAATTTTCAGGAGTCTTCTGGGCTCAGGGCATTGGCATCTAGCATAACAAGGCCCCCAGGCTCAATGTCTGCAGAGTTAGAAGGGAACTGAAAGATTGCCTAGCACAGTAGTGTCAAACTCAAATAGAAATGGCAGCCCCTACACTGTAGACAGGATCCTTGCAGGCCGTGTATGGACTCTGTTAAAATGGAACACTATCTATTGTGTTAAATATTTCCCAACACTATTTTCATTTAGCTCAAGCCTCACTCAGGAATGCTGTAGGCCACAGGCTGCATGTTAGACGCCTCTGATCTGGCCAAATTCCTTTCCTTTCCAGAGGAGGAAAGTGAGAGCCAGGGAAGGCAAAGGACTTGCCCAGGGTCACCAAGACAGGATTCAAGGGCAGGTCTCTGGATTCCAAATCCAAAGGTCCTTCCACTAAAGCTAAAAGATATAGTGGGGGGCAGCTAGGTGGCGCAGTGGATAGAGCACCGGCCCTGGAGTCAGGAGGACCTGAGTTCAGATCCAGCCTCAGACCCTTCCAAGTACTTACTGACCCCAGGCAAGTCATTTCAGCTGTTTGTCTCAGTTTCCTGATCTGCAGATTGAGGACAACAACAGTACCCCCATCAGAGAGTTGTGAGGATAAAGTGAGATGCTTGTAAAGCACTTTGAAAAACCTGAAGTTCTGTATAAATGGGAATTATTATTATAATCAATAAGAATAAACAGACAAACTTAGGAGAAGGGCAGGTTTCAGGGGAAGGTAATTGCTTTTGTTTTGCACGTGTTGCATTGAAGACGCCAAGACGAAATCCAGGTAGCCCAGTCCAAGAGGCAGACGGTAATAAAATAATAAACTGGATTTCAGGAGGAATTTCTGAGCCAGAGAGCGATACATATTAAGATGACAAATTATACACACGGGCACATGAGAGATCACAAGAAAGGAGCAAAAAGGACCCAAGACAGAGACTTGGGAGTCTAATCCCTGTCGAGAGCGACAGACTCCGGACAATCCAGCAAACCGAAACAGCCAACCAGCACTTGTGAAGCGCCTACCGTATGCTACGTGCTGGGGCTGATGAAGGCAAGTGAACCAGTCCAAAAGAGGCCCAGGAGGGGGGTCAGAAAAGAGGGACGCTGAGAGAGGATGGGGCCAGCTGTCCAAGCCCCCGACGGGGAAGCAGGGTCGGCCTCGAGGTCATGAGTCAACAGCTAATGTCATCGCAGACACAGCTTCCAGGAATAAGGAGGTGCCCCGGGCAGAGCCCGTTCAAGGCACCGCGTTCTAGGAAGGATGCAGCTAAGCTGAAAGGCATTTTAAGTGCTCGCTGTGTGCCAGGCACCGCGCTAATCACTAGGAATACAGAGAAAGGAAAAAGCAGTCGCCGCCCTCCCGGGCTCACAATTCTAACAGAAAACAAGTATACACAAACAAGATCTAGACAAAGGGTCTTAACCTCTGCGGGACCCCCTGGGCAGTCCAACTGGTGAAGCCTAGGCACTTCTCAGAATCAGGTTTTTAAATGCATGCCATAAAATACCCAGGATTATCAAGGAAACTGACTCTACTGAAATACAATTATCCAAATATTTCGTTTAAAACAAGTTCACAGGCCCCAGGCTGAGAAGTCCTGAAACAGAGGCGATGCAGCCAGGGTGGCAAGTAAAGGCAAGGTGGCCAAGGGCCAGATATGTTTTAGGTATAGAGTGGTCAGGCAGAGGTCTACTGAGGCTCCGGCCTGCTTGGAGAGCCTGTGGAAGCAGGCAGAGAGAGCGGCCAGACAGAGAGGACAGTCAATGGTGTCAAAAGCTTTAGAGGTCAAACAGGAAGAAGAATGAGAGAAAGCCGGCAGACAGAGTAGTGAAGGGCCAAGCGTTGAGGTCAGAAGGAACCAAGAAAAGGGCTGAGAAGTGAGGGGGAGGGAAGGACAGGAAGGAATTGAGAGTATGCGTAATCTCACAGTTCAGCTCTGAGAGAGAAAAGAAACACAGCAGGATGGGTTGAGGAAATGGCGAGGTCGAGGGAAGACTGTGAGGATGGAAGAGACGCGGTCCTCTCCACGTCCTGACTAGTGCCATTCTTCCAGGTTCGCAAGCAAGGTTCTCCCCTCTCAGTGACCCTGCTTCCTCCATCACTGGCACCCGAGACGCACCAGCTCCCACCCACTCCTCTTCCTCAGCATCTCTCAGGTCTCTTCTTCTGCGGCATCGCTATCTGAGCTGTCCTCACCGTTCACTTGAACTGTCTCAAAAGCCAGATCCAATGGCTCCCCCACCACCCACCTTCCACACGGCTACCAAAGGGATGCTCCTAGCGCATCAGTCGGGCCCACCCACCTGACCATGGCCGTCCTCTGCTCCAGAAGCTACGGTCGCTACCCAGGGACGCTGGGATAAAACACAAAGTGTCCATCGGGCCCATAAAGGCCTTTGCCATCTGGCTGACCAGAGGGCCGACCTCTCCGGGCTGACAACACATCGCTCCCCTTTACATCAATGAACAAACACTTATCAAGCACCTCCTGTGTGCCAGGCACTGCACTGAGTGCTGGGGATACGAAAGAGGGAGAAAAGGCAGTCCCTGCCCTCAAGGGGCTCACAACCTAACAGGGGACAACACGCAGCAAATACATACCCAGCAAGCTGGGCACGGGATAAATAGGAACTAACGGACAGAGGGAGGCACTGGCACTCAGAGCACTGGGAGAAGGCTGCCTGAAGGAGGCCGGGGAGGGCAGCTGGCAGGGCTGGCCAGCTTGCTGCACCCCGCAGAAGACCTCCCATCTCTCGCCTCCTTCCCTTTGCTTACCTGGAATGTCCTCCCTTCTCACCCACGCCACCTGGAATCCTTCGCTTCCTGCGAGGATCAGCACAAAGCCCCCTCCTCCAAGAGACGTGTCCTCGTGTCCCAACTGGTCAGTTCCCTTCTCCCCACCACACACACACACACACACACACACACACACACACACACAGAGACAATGGCACACAGACACACACACACACACACACTGGTACAACATACACAGATACACAGACACACACTGGCACACAGACAGACACACACACAGACACACAGACAGAGGCACACATACACAGACACACAGACACACACTGGCGCACAGACAGACACACAGAGGCACACATACAGACACACAGACACACACACACACAGAGGCACACATACACACAAACACACACTGGCACACAGACACACACACACAGAGGCACACATACACATACAGACACTGGCACACAGACAGACAGACACACAGAGGCACACATACACACACTGGCACACAGACACACACACACAGAGGTACACATACACACACATACACACACTGGCACACAGACACACACATACACACACAGACACAGACAGAGGCACACATACACAGACACACACACACACACACACACAGAGGCACACATATGCACACACACACACAAATTACCACTTCTCTTTTCTCATTTCCTTTTCTGGGATCCCGTTACAGAATGTCAGCTCCTTGAAGGCAGGGGCGGCATCACCTCTGTGTCACTATCCTCAGTGCCTAGCACGGCACTTGGCACACAGCAGACGGTTAACCATGGCTCGTAGGCAGCAGGAAAGAGAGAAGTCAGCAGACAGCGATTACGAGCAAGAGAAAGGACAGAGATAAAGGACAAGCTCCGCAGAGGGCAGGAAGGCTCACGCCAGCCGAGCGCGCTGGGCGAGGCTCGGGGACAGCCAAAGAACAGAGGGCATTGACAAGACGGCGGGTGTGGGCCACGGCACGTTCCCTGGGCATGAGAAATCAGAAAAGCTCTCCCCGCGGGCAGGCGAGGGGCCGAGCACGGCTTGTGAGGCGGGCGGAAGCAGAGGAGGCCCCTGGCACACCAGCAGGACCCTCCGCAGGGGTGGACAGAAGGGTGCAGGAATCGAGGCGCAGTACCCGCCCAGCTGAGGTCACCGAGCTGGCAGGTCCTTAGAGACCACCCAGGCTCTAGGGAAGGGGCCTGGCCAAGCTCACGAAGGAAGGAATGAATCTGTACAGGCCAATGAGCTCTCCCAAGAGAGAGAGGGGCGAGAAGGGCCTCCCAGGGCGGGTCCTTCTTGACCTCGTCCCGCTGCCATGACCAGCAGGTCATCTGGCCGGCGACTGACTGCGTGGCTCTCCTCCCCTTCCTGGCTTCACACCTGAGCTGGTACCAAAGCTAAGTGGGGAAGAGGGGAGGTCTCAGGAAATGGCCAAAGCCGAGTCACTGCATCCACACAGCCCATAATCAGCCAGTGTCATCACCGAAGAGCCTTGGAGAATGGCTCATTCCAGCCTCAGTGGCTCCAGTGCACACCAGCTTGAGAAGAGCACCATGTGCCTGGTGCCCTCTGAGGCCCAGACCTAAGAAACAGGAGATTTCAATGGGCCTGAGAGGCCTCATCATCCCCGCAGATCTGTGGGTTCAGAGGGGTGCTCTCCGCCTGCCCAGTGGCTCTTCTCTTCCCGCAGGGTGCCAGGCGGGAGTGCCCTGGCTCCCCACATGTCTCTCACTAGGCATGCATTAGCACCAGGCTCATGTAGGGAAATGTTTTCAGACCTTCACTCCAAACGCGGCCTCGGGGCTCTGAATGAGCCTCTCTTTCTATGGCACCGCTGCAGGGGAAACAGGCCCTGGTGCCCGGTGGAGTGTTCTGGATGACAAATCAGGAGGGGTGGGCTCCTGATCAGCCTGTGACCCTGACTGAGAGAGCAGCCACACTCACGGGACCTTAGCTGTCTAATCTATGAGACGGTGACAATGATCCCCACCTTGCCCACTTCCCAGGGGGACTCCTGTGATCATCCCATGAAATAATGTCTGTAAAAGCTCTTTGAAAATTCCCACGTGTACACGCAGCCAAGACTAGAAGGAAAGCAGAAGACTGCGGGGAGGGGGGATTTCACAGCAAGTTTCTCTGGGAAAGGCCTCATTTTTGAAATACATAGAGAAGTGAGTCAAATCTATAAGAATATGAATCACTCCCCAACTGACAAATGGTCAAAGGATATGAACAGACAGTTTTCAGAAGAAATCAAAGCTATCAATAGTCATATGAAAAAAAGCTCTAAATCACTATTTTTTTTTTTCCAAGGCAATTGGGGTTAAGCGACTTGCCCAGGGTCACACAGCTAGTAAGTGTCAAGTATCTGGTCTGAGACTGGATTTGAACTCAGGTCCTCCTGCCTCCAGGGCTGGTGCTCTATCCACTGCGCCACCCAGCTGCCCCTAAATCACCATTTATTACAGTAAAGCAAATTAAAGCAACTTTGTGGTCCCACCTCATGCCTATCAGAAATGGCAAATGCTAAAGGGAATGTGGAAAAATTGGGACACTCATGCATTGTTAATGGAGTCATAAACTGATCCCACCATTCTGGAGAGCAATTTGTAACCATACCCAAAGGGCTATAAAACTGTGCAAAACCACTACTAGGTCTGTATCCCAAAGAGATTAAAAAAAAAAAGAAAAAAAGACAAAAGACCTATTTGTAAAAAAATATTCACAGCAGCTCTTTTTGTGGTGGCAAAGAATTGGAAATTGAGGGGATGCCCATCCACTGGGGAATGGCTGAACAAGTTGTGAATGAATGTAATGGAATGTAATGGAATACTATTGTGCTATAAGAAATGATGAGCAGGCAGACTTCAGAAAAACCTGGAAAGACTTACATGAACTGATGCAGAGTGAAATGAGCAGAACCAGGAGAACACTGTACACAGTAACAGCCACACCATGTGATGACTGACTTTGATAGACCTGGCTCTTCTCAGCAATGCAAGGATCTAAGACAACTCCAAAAGACTTACGACGGAAAATGCTGTCCACACCCAGAGAAAGAACTACAGAGTCTAAATACAGATGGAAGCAGACTATTTGCTCTCCTTTTCTTTTGTTGTTTTGTTTTATTGCTTCATTCTTGCGGTTCCTCCCATTAGTTCTAATTGTTCTTTACATCATGACAAATGGGAAAATATGCTTGATATGAATATATAAGTAGAGTCTATATCAGACTGCACATCATATTGGGTAGGGAGGAGAAATTTAAAACTCAAAATATTATGGAAGTGAATGTTGAAAACTAAAAATAAATAAATTAACTATCAAGGGGGAAAAAAAAGAAATGATAAGCAGGATGCTTTCAGAAAGACCTGAAAAGACTTCAACGAACTGATGCAGAGTGAACTGAGCAGAACCAGAACGCTGTCCACAGTAACAACGACATCGTACAATGATCAGCTGGGAATGATGTAGCTATTCTGATCAATACAATAATCCAAGACAATTATGAAGGACTTAGGGTAAAAATGCTATCCAACTCCAGAGGAAGAACTGATAAGCATCTCTCTGAGCCTCATTCCCTCAGCTATGAGAAGAGAACAAGGATCCCAAAGCTGTGCTACTGCCAGAGCTGTGAGAGAAGCACAGAGTCAGCTTCCGAGTGCTGGCAGATTAAAGGTGTGAGATCATCTAGGGAACATTCAGTTTACAGATGAGAAAATTGAGGCCTGTAGCACTGAAGTGACTTGTCCAAGTTCACCCAGGCGGTACATGGCAGAGCCAGGATCTGAGGCCAAGAGAATGGTAGTGGTTACTGGGGCTCCTCCAAAGCCCTCCTGGGCTAGTGGCCAAGCGGGGAACAAGACAGAAAGACCTCAACACAGACTCAGGCCATGACAAGGCCCATGTTAGCACAAGGGGTCCCCCAGTAAGACTCCTGTACATTTCACCATCAAGTCAGCATTTTTCTTCCCAAACCAGCTCTTCAGAGGAAAAAAGTCCCCTAACATAGCCACCATTTTGTCAAGTAGAATATTTGGCAAATAGAGTCAGCAAAAAAAGATGCAAAGGGCAAAAGACGAGCTCACCTTCAGGACTCTGGTTTGTTCCTTGAACTCCTCATCTTCATCAGAGTCTGCATCAGGCAACTGATAAATCCGAATGCCGTGTTCAGAGATTTCATCAAGGATCTACGGGGAGAATGGGAGAGAGAAATGGCATCATCACACGCCAGGACGGAGACACATGGCAGCAGCAAGGGCTCCGGGCCTGGCCGTCCATGACTGTCTCCTGCCGAGGTCTCTCCCACCCCAAGAAAACCCTGGACTACACTGGGACAAGAAAAAGCAGGCTCTACATAGGAGTCTGAGCCTCAAGCTCTGTGCAACAGTAGAGTCTGAAATAAAGAAGACTGGTTTGGGGGGGGGCTTTGAATACAGCCAGCCCAGACAGAAGGCATCCCCATGCCAGCCCCTGTCTGGGAAAGCCCAGCCTACCATGGAGAGGTGAGGAGAGGCTGCGCCAGCCCCTGTCTGGAAAAGCCTGGCCTACCACGTGGAGGTGAGGAGAGGCTGCGCCAGCCCGTCTGGGAAAGCCTGGCCTACCATGGACAGGGGAGGAGAGGCCGCCAGCCCCTGTCTGGAAAAGCCTGGCCTACCACGTGGAGGTGAGGAGAGGCTGTGCCACCCCTGTCTGGGAAAGCCCGGCCTACCATGGAGAGGTGAGAAGAGGCTGCGCCAGCCCATCTGGGAAAGCCTGGCCTACCATGGAGAGGTGAGGAGAGGCTGCGCCAGCCTGTCTGGGAAAGCCTGGCCTACCATGGAGAGGTGAGGAGAGGCTGCACCAGTCCCTGTCTGGAAAAGCCTGGCCTACCACGTGGAGGTGAGGAGAGGCCACCAGCCCCTGTCTGGAAAAGCCTGGCCTACTATAGCTCAACTATAGTTCAAAGCAGACTCATTATCGTTCCCCTCAAATCCACTGCCTCCCTAAATTTGCCATGTCTATTACAGCCACTACAACCCTCCCTCTCACCCGGGTTCACAATCCTGCATCACCCTCGACTCATCACTCTCCTTCACACACACAACTTCCATGCCCAATCAGTCTTGTCAATTCTACCTCGACATCTCTGCCTCCTGTCCCCTTCTGTCTACTCCCAGCACAAGCACCCTAGATCTGGCCCTCATCACCTCCTAACTGATTTTTCTGAGGTCTCATTCTCTCTCCATCCCACACATGGCTGCCCAGTAACATTCCTAAAGTACTGGGCTGCCCACTCTTCCCCTGCTCCAGAAGCTCCAATGGCTCCCAACTGCCACTAGAACCCAACACAAATTCCTCTACCTGACATTTACAGCTGCAGCCTCCCTTTGTGCGGATGACACGTCACTCTTCTTCACGCTTTATATTCCATCCAGTCCGGCCCACTTGAAGGCTACCTTCTGCTCTGCACTAGCCATGTGCCATGTGCCTGCCTTCACCTTGGCTCCTTTAAGGCTCAGCGCCACTTGCTTCTGCCACTACTGATGCCTTCCCGACTTGGAAATGACTCAAGATATTTTGCTTTTGATTCTCCATAGAAATGTTTCCCCTCACATAGACAGGCATCTCTCCTTCTCGAGAGCGGTAAATATGTCATTTTGTCAGCACATCCTCATTAATGAGCACAGGGCCTGGCCCATACTACACACTTAATAAGCACTTGCTGAATTTAACTGAAAATAACAAAGTGCATTTCTTGAAAATCTTCATTCACTTAAGACTTTAAAAAACAATGATTCATACCAGCCCTTCCTCCAATTGGCCTGCAGTAGAAAGGATCATTTCCCATGTTCCGTTTTCACTCTTAGCAATACTTTTTATATTACTTCATTTTTAGAAAAAAATTTTCAATTAAAAATTCCTCATACCTTTCTCCTACCCTCCTTCCACTGGAAAAAAGGAAAAGAAAGTGAAAAGAAAACCCTTGTGACAAGAATAAACAGTCAAACAAAATAATCCCAGAGGGCTTATTGTAAATGATCGTGAGAGACGTAAACAACCTTGGACACAGTTATTGCCGGTGGTCAGTCATTCAGCTGTATCAGATTCTTCACGATTCCATGGACCACAGAGTGCTAATACTGTCTATGGGGTTTTCTGTGCCAAGACAGTGGAGTGGTTTGCCATTTTCTTCTCTAGTGAATTAAGGCAGAGAGTAAGTGACACAGCTAGTAGGTGTCTGAGGCCAGATTTAAACTCAGGTCTTCTGACTACAGGCCTAGTGCTCTATCCACTGCACCACCCAGCTGCCTCATTTCGGCCAGGTACAGCTTTGATTAGATATAAGGAAGACCGTGTGGATGGTGCACAAACTGAGCACCAGGAGCAGCCCCAGAGGAGATTGCACGGGCCCTCAGGGCAAGGGACAGGCCCCTGGGAGCACCTGAAGGAGGCAGCCAGTTACCAGCAACGGCCTGAGCACAAGAAGTAGTGAAAGATACCCTGACAAGGGCCCACATGACTGGAAGAAGAGGGAAGCCAGTCGCAAAATGAGCAGGAGACATGTCAGCTGGGCATCCTATGAGCTCCACTGGAGCCCCCTGAAGACCAAGGGCAAGGTCCCCAGGATTTATAGAAAGATGAGGGCAAGAACTCAACCGAGCACAAAGGCACAAAGTGGGCAGAGACTTGTGGCCTGCACGGAGGAGGGCCAGAACCACCTAGGAGAAGGCCAGCCCTGGAGGGCAGCTGGTGCCAAGCCTAAAGACGCAGAGTTGGATCACACGATCTCCCAAGGGTCTTCTCAGCTCAAGAAACCCACATAACAACACGCACCTACAGGATTCCCAACCATTAAAACAGCAATATAACAAAAGTCCTAAGAGAAGACTGAAGTGAGCCTGAGAGACGATGCCTTCCAAAAGACAGAAGCACTGCTTTAACGAAGAAACAGGAAGGCCTTGGGGCAGCTAGGTGGCGCAGTGGATAGAGCACCAGCCCTGAAGTCAGGAGGACCTGAATTCAAATGCGGCCTCAGACCAAACACTTGACACTTACTAGCTGTGTGACCCTGGGCAAGTCACTTAACCCCAATTGTCTAAAAAAAAAAAAAGGCAAAATTTAAAAAAAGAAAAAGAAAAAGGAAGGCCTTCCAGTTACCGGAATATGTGAAGGATTAATCAACTAATAACCTGTGATCCCACAGACATTCTTCCTCTAATGAAATTCCTGCAGGGTAGAGTGCAAGCTGAACTTGGACTCTAACACTTTAGAAAGGAAAAGCTCTTTGCTGTTCTTTTCCCTAGGGACAAGGGGATCCCTTCCATAATGACAACGAATTAGATGGACTTTGGTGGGGGGAGGGGGCCCACTGTGATTCTGTGGCTTCTCAGTATCTGAATGTTTTCTCAAAGTATGTAAATCCCCAAAGAAGAGAAGGTCTTCCTACCTTTAACATCCTAAAAACACTGTGATTCTGTGCAGCTTCCGTCCCTGGGAAGCCTCATATCTCCTGAGGCTCACAGGGAACAAGAGATGATGATCCATCTAGAACCCTAAGTGGTTTTCAGGAATTTACAGCTGTTCCTCTTGATGGACTGAAACCATTTCCCAGGCAGGCTGAAGCTGTTGGCCCGTCCCTTCCCAGAAAGCGCACAGCTACCACCCAGAGACTGTGGAGTCTGCCCAGAAGCGCCGGCCCTCTCTTCCCAGCAGCCCCTGACCCCATTACTCAGAGATCAGCTTCCTTCTTCAGACACAGCTGTCCTTTATCCTGCTCTCCCTCCCCTCCAGGGTCTGTCGGTCAGACAATGCAGCCTCCTCACCACCATGTCCTCCAACTGACAAACGGTCGCACAAAGCACCCGCCACTGGTAGCCAATACACTTTAACACTCTAAGGGACCCGTGCCCTGTTTGTTGCTGTGAACACTCAGGTGCCTGGGAGGACCCCTCTGGGACTTCAGAAATGATCTTCAAGAGTTGCTGTTGCCATTTAGTGTCGAGCCAGACCCAGGACAAGACCACACAGCCACTCTGTCCTTTCCAGCCTGGGCAGGACATGCCAAAACAGGTCGTCCGAAGTGAACCCACCAGCATCTTCAGGCCGTGGCAAGTCATCAAGGGAGGACTTCAGTAGAAGAATTTATTCTCTGTGGCCCATGATAAATTCAATTACAATAATTCATGGACAATGAGAGAAATGCAAATGAAAACAACTCGGAGGTACCACCTCACACTCATTAGATTGGCTAACATGACAGAAAAGAAAAAGGACAAACGCCGAAGGGGACATGGAAAATCTGGGACGCCAATGCACTGTTGGTAGAGCTGTGAACTGATCCAACCATTCTGGGAAACAATGTGGAACTAGGCCCAAAGGGCCATAAAACTGTGCATACACCTCTGGAGCCAGCAATGCCGCTACTAGGCCTGTACCCCAAGAGATCAAGTAAAAGAAGCTGTATGTACAAAAATATTTTAGCAGCTCTTTTCGTGGTGGCAAAGAACTGGGAATGACCAGCAACTGGGGAATGGCTGAACAAGTCACAGTATATGAAAGTGATGGAATATTATTATACTATAAGAAATGATAAAGTGGATGGTTTCAGAAAAATCTGGAATGATGCAAAGTGAAGTAAGCAGAACCCGGAGATCACAGCATACAGTAACAACAACATTGTTAACGATGATTAAAGACTTCGCTACTCTGATCAATGCAACAATCCACCCCAACCCCACAGGACTCCCGACATAAAATGCCATCCAGCTCCAGACAGAACACTGAGACTCAGAGGATACATTAAAGCATATTTTTTCCCTTTCTTTGTTTTTCACACTTTTTTTTTCCTCCAGAACATGGCTAATGTGGAAATATATTTGCATGACTTCATAGGTATAATGGGTATTGTATTTCTTGCCCACTCAATGGGTGGAGGAGGGGCTGGAATCTAGAACTGAAAACAAAAATAAAATTTAGAAAAAAACAATTCATGAAATTCAAAGATCCAGGGAAATTTCACATCCTGCAAATATGTTTGGATTTCATGGTTCACCACTGACAGTCAGAGTCCTAGGGGCAGCTAGATGGTGCAGTGGATAGAGCACTGGCCCTGAAGTCAGGAGGACCTGAGTTCAAATCCGGCCTCAGACCAAACACTTGACACTTACTAGCTGTGTGACTCTGGGCAAGTCACTTAACCCCAATTGTC